TTGGCCACGGGAACAGCTTGCCTTCTGGTGTTGCTCTCTGAGCGTTGTCTCCAGTCTCATTTCAAGGCAAAAGTTGCTTTCTGTGATATCCACGATTACCACACAGAAAGCATGCAGCCTGCAGCGCTACACGTGGCTCTCGCCTAGATCCCGAGTATCTTGCATCTCTCTAGCGTGGCGAACGCCATTACCGCGGCTCCGCCTTTTAACTGCATCTCCAACATGCCATGAACAAAGCAAAACTGAAAGTGCTGGGGACCCAGTTGCCCCTGACAGGGTTGCATTTCTAAGGAAGATGGGCCTGGGAGACTGCTGCTAGGCAGCTGGTGTATGGCTGCGTATATCTGCACCCGCATACACACAGCTGGGTTGTGGGGGAGTGAGTTTATCCCTCCTAGCTGTGTTCATCTGCCCTCCACCCATCTCTCTTGACTGCTTCTGGCCCCCAAACAGTCTTCCGTAGTGACAATTGCCAAGTGTTAGCTCCTTCTGCCTCAATTACCCTTGCCCAAGGTCTTGGGTAAAAAGGATTTGGTGTTCCCAGCTCCTGTTTTCCTCTGAGTTGGGAGAACTAGTGTTGTGCAGAGCCCATCAGGGAGAAAAGCCAACGTTGAGGTTAGCGTTGGCGCTGGCGTGCATCTTGCGTTTGGCCAGCTGAGCAGCGCAACCTGTGCTGAGCTCCTTGTGGGCAGCAGCATTTATCAGATGAAGCAGCACAGTCTGGGCCTGGAAGCAGCTGCTAACAGGAGTCTTACAACCAAGATTTTCAACAGGGTGTAAAGCAGAAGGCAGGAGGGCACTTTAGAAATGAACCTGGTCAAAAAGGCATAAGCTTTCATAGGCGATAGCATCCAAGTAGGCTGTTTGCTGTGAAAGCTTATGCCTTTCTGAATGAGTTAATCTCTTAAGATGTCCACCTACTCTGCTTGCTGCCTGTCTCCAGACTAAGATGCTAGCTCCACAAAATGGGCAAAATGCGGCCTGCCAGGCTATTCTATCCGGCCCACGGGGCCCCTAAAAAATTTAGAAAATTAATCAATCTGCCCTGGGCTGCCTGTCAGATGGTCCTCGATGGCTTGCCGAAACTCGGTAAACGGCCTTCTGCCCAAAATAATTGCCCACCCCGTGCTAGCTGCTTCTCTCTGACCACACGTGTGTAAAGCGGGTTTCAAAGGTAGTTGTCGGCACCTTTGCTGTAAGCTATCTACCGGGGGCAGTTTGTTTCTCCAAGCTCTGGCTCAGAGGGGGCGAGTAGAGGAATAATTACAACTGAAAACAATACTACGTGGTGCTAAGCAGAACAGGCAGGTACAGTGCATGCTTTGCTGCAAGCTAAAAATAGAGGTCGTAAAACCAATTAAAAATGTGGCTATGTTAGCTTGCCAAAAAAAAAGGAGTGGGGAAGAGGGAGCATCAGGAAGGAAAATGAGCAGCTAGGGCTCTGGAGAGGTGGATGCACATTTCCTCATTAATAGACCTCTTTCAAAGAGCCTGGGTTGCTATTTTTAGAAAAACAAATGTAGGTTGCTACCTACAGAGATCGGCCTGTGTGTCTGTCTTGCACTTATTGACCTTTTAATTTCTCGTATTAACGTTTTAATCCCAGGGAGATTTATCTGCTATAAAGACTTGCTTAAGCAAAATTTTCAGCAAGATCTCCAGAAATGACGGGCTAATTGGAGGCCTGGATGTGTGGGGGTTGAGTCCCCACTCCCTCCGTTGATCTGTTCATTTCCATTTTAACAGCTTGGCTGAATCATTTCGTGCCACTTTTTTTCTTTTGGACCAGAAAATTTTAACAGCTCTAGATATTTCTGTACCAGCAGCCAGTACTTAATCGCATTAAACCCTCCCGAGATGCAAGAACTCAGGGCCAGGTGCTTTACCCCACCCCAGCGGCACAAAGGGAATTTTCAGGGTAAATCAAGCCCTGGCTGGGTAGATCCAAGCTGGACCAGGAATTGAGCCCATCTCTGTGTCCCAACCCAAGCCACACTGTTGTTTCCAGTGCAGTGAGGTGCAGACCCAAGAGCTCCCTCATCCCACTTTTCAGAATCTCTTATGCACTCAGAAAACATCATGCCGACATGAAAGTCTTTTAACTTTACATATGACTCACAACAAAATAGGAGCTGTGGAGGGGAATCTGCATTAGAATGCTCTTTAAATATACTGGTCCTTAACATAGCTGTGTAATTCCTATTTAATATCAGAGCATGGTGAGTATGTGTTAAAGGAGCAAAGCTACTTCCTAGCAACAAACGAGTCCAAAGTGCTGTGATGTTGCTGCTCTGCAGTGATTTGCATATGGGATTTGTCTTTTGAGAAGAGTGTCTGCTGTGGAGCTGTGGGTAGAAACAGCGTTTCTCAGCATACTGATACGAAGGGCAGCTACAGAGCACGTAAGAGCAGGGTTCCCTGGGCACCATGCAGTATAACTGTTGGTGGTGGGATTCTTCTGCGTGAGAGCAGTACACAGCTTTTTATTTTTGGAAAGGAAAGTTGGACCCTCATCCTGCAAAAACTTCACATGTGGATAATGCTGGGCACGGTAGCTATTCCATTCATCAGAGCTGGGATTTTTCAAAGGGAATGAGGTGTCCAGTTTCCTTTGAATTTTAATGGTATGAAGGTACCTATATCCTGTAGGTCTCTTTTGAAAGTGCCAGGGCATGGACAAGTGAAACAAGTATGATGGATTAGAAATGGGGAATTTCTATCAGTTGTGAGCACACATCTGCTGATCTCCTGCAACCATTTCGTATATCTGTTCTATCCCACAGGAATTGGAAGCTGAATTGGGGTAAAATCCATTTATCCTTGATTAAAACAGTTGCTGAATGGTTTAGCTTCACTTATTACAAGTATATTTGATGCATATAAGTGTCCCCTATATGACAACCCATTTTAAATGAGTATAGTTTCGTCTGTCCATACCTGCAATCTACTTTCTCTTTAAAGTGTCTAGAATGTAAAATAACTGGTCCCATTTTCCCCATTTTTTTGGACCTGGAGGAATGCAGTCCTTAATAAGTTGAGGGGTTTGATTAGGGGTGGAGAGCTTTCCTATCGGCTGTCTGTGGGTATTTGAGTTAAGTAGGCCTTTCGTACAAGTTCTGAAAGTCTGAATAAAACCAGTTTCCCCTTTCATACGCTCAGATTTGCGTGGGGTCTGTGACTCTGTAATCCTTCTAGTTTCTCAGATGTCAGCCTACCAGTAAAAACAGGCTAGATAAGACCTAAATTCCTAGTAGCACTTGTTCCTAATGGCTGTTTCAAGAAGCTGTAACTTTTCTCTGATAAGGGTACTTCCCTTCTGCATCAGCTGAGAAGTTGACAAGGGTGTTGCACAAACCTCTTGTCCAGCATAAAACATCCCCACTCCCCTGCAACTTCATCTGGGTGTCTGGGGCAGATCTTTAGCATGTGTATTTTCATTTTAAAAGTGGAGGATATTCCTCTGGGCTCAGCTGATTCTTTTGTTCCAGTATACAGCAGGGTATCTGCAACAGTCTGTGTGCAAACTCCAGTGCTAACACTACTGTGTGCTGGACAAGACCCGGGCAATGATTTTCAGATCTGGTGCCCTCAGTTGTCATTGGCCCATGGGCAACAATACCTACTGAGCAAGTAACATGCCGTGAGCAGTGTTGGTAGATTTTGCAGGTCGTGTGTTGCCTCTGAGGCACTGGTTGGGGGTGGCTGGAGTAAACCCAGCAGAGGGGGAATGCATACAGGTGCAAGTTTGCAGTGCAGCATGGTTAATGCCTTGTCGTGATTATTGAGAGGAGAAGCACGTGGCTCAAATGCAAAGTTATTCCAGTGAATTGCTTGGTCATCGGCTGCAATGAATAACTTCATGGTCCTGAACTATGAAACCTTAAACACGCACTTCATTTTACCTGCCATGGGTGGGCCTAACCGAGAACTCGTGGGGCTTCAAGCTAAGTATGTGTATGATGCCTATGCAGTAGAGGCCTTAGCCGTGCTGTTTGAGAGACTGGCCGTGTACTTGTGAGCCAGCATGAATTGTGCTACAATGAAGTGTTGGAAATGTTTGTTGCCACGTGTTGGAACAAAGGACAAAAGAACAGGATGTCGGGCTTTTTTTTTTTTTTTAATTTTAAAAAATTTTGTCCCGCAAGGACAAAAAAACAAGGAAGGAAAAAAAAAAAGGATTTCGGGCTTTTTTTTTTTTTTTTTTTCAATTTTAAATAATTTCGTCTCGCAAGGACAAGAGAACAAGGAAGTAGAATAAAAATACAGCTTAGGGTGGCTATTGTAAAAAGCCATGAAGAAGCAAGTGTCAACAGCAAAATGTTTTTGCAGTAAAGAAAAGGGTGTCATATTTTAGTCTAATACTTAATGGTGCCATAAGCTTCCCAAAAGCAGGAACAGATGTCTTTGGGTTTTTCCCCCCCTTCTTTTATGCATTTGTCACTGCAGCTTATCAGGTTTTTTAATTCCTTGTGCCAACTTTTATTTTTTCCAGTCTAAATTCTTTTTTCTTTTAATAATTAAGCAAATGGTGCACCAAGTATTCCTGGTTACTTCTGTGTAAGAGGTTACTTTACTACATAACATCACTGAGAACTTGCCCTTTACAGAAACTAATTTAGGAACATTGTGGGAAAAGGAATACTTTAGATTAAAGAGAGTAGAGACTGCGACGAACGAGCTCTGTTGTGAACTGTATTAATTTCTGCCCTGGTTCACACTGTCACAGGTGTGTTGAGTAACGAGGATTACTGAAGTTGGCTGTTTGCTGGTTAGAGAGCTGTAATATTTGTGCCACCTGGGACACTCTGTGCACCGAGGGGTTGCAGGATCTGACCTAGAAAGAAGAGAGAGAAAAGCCCTTCACTCTGACACTTACCCGAGTTGGAAGTACCAGAATCCCAAATGCATCCTTGCAATAGCAATATAGCTGCCCTTACCGTTTACTGCACCTAATGTGAATGCCTCCTGACACCCTCCCTCTCTCTTCCTTCCATTGACAGGATAGTGAACTTCACAACTGTGCCTATTTGGACAGTGAAAGTGCATACAGTGAGGCAGAGCTCTTTCCTGATGAAGACACGATGACGCTGGCACAGCAGGAGATTCACCATGAGTCTGACATGGACAGTGCCATTGAGAGTGCCCAGAGCTCGGAAGCATCTGACGTGTGCAGAAGTGAAGAGAAGGACGGCGTGCTCGGAGGCCTGTTCCTGCCTGGAGACAAGTGAGTGGCAGTTCACCTGTCGGAGACTTCTTTCCCACCCCGCCAGGGCACACATCCCACATCAACTGATCGTTCTTGTTTCAGACCAGACTAAAATCACTCAGACATCTGAACAATCTCAGACTAAGCTCCTAATACCCATTTAAAATTTAATGACATTTGGCCATCTATATCTCCCTTAAATGGCTTTGAAAATTCCAGCTCTCCTCTCTTTCTGGATTTATTCTCCCATCTCTAATAGGGTTCGCACACGTGCCTGGCACCTCCAGCTGGGATTGAGTTGCATATTGTAACGACAGTCCTGGTATAGCCCTCTACAATGATCTCAGTGCATTAGCCATGAAAATGGGTGGTTTTATTCCTCCTCCCTGGCCATACCTGGTCTATCCCCCCCTTCCCCGAGACCATTTGTATCATGATTCAAGTGTGAATCCACCACAAAGCAAGTAGGGGGTGCCTTTTAAAGCTGTTGTCTCATCTAGCTAAAAACATGCAGGTGTTGGGCTGGATAGAGGAGATTTGTGTTGCTAACTACCGTCCCTTCTGAATTTCCTTACACACACTGCTGTAATTCTGGCCTTTCTTCATGTGAAGTCTTATGTTTTACCACTGTAATATTTATTTAATGTAGTTGCATGTGTGATTTGCTGTTTTGCTTTTTTATTTGTTTTTTTTTAAAAAGCAAACACTGTCATGTGGCATCTCACTGACACCTGCTTGGGGCGGGCACCAGGAGACTTGGAGCTCTAGCTCCCCTGCCACGTGAGACTAGGTTGTCATCTAGGGGGACCAGCGCTAATGGAGGGAATGGGACATTGTGCCAGGGTGTGTTTGAGATGTGCACCACCAGCTCCTTCCACCTTCTCCCTCTTCAGCACCTGCTGCGTCCGTGTTAAGCTGAATCCACCACCAACGTCACTTCTACAGACTGTAGAGAATCCTCATCTGGAGCAGCTTCCCTTAGGCAGCCAAGCGGGCTGTGGGAGCCTAGCTTCTTTGAGCTGTCCACTTCAGGCGCAGGGTTTCCGCCATGCCATTTCAGCCTCCTGGATTCCCAAGCAGCCAAAAGGAGCAAGCTGCTGCGAGCTTTCCTTCAGGGAATTGAATTCTAAAGCTTTTGACCCGAAATGTTTTCTGTCCTTTAGTGGAAACTTGTGCCGTGTCTAAGCATTTGCACTCCTGGGGAAGCAAAGCTGGCATTCTAGTTTAAACCAGAGCCTGATTGGAAAGAAGGTGTTCTTTTAAAGTGAAACAATTTCCCTGCCTTCCCCCCCACCCTCCTCTTCCACCCCCAGAAGCATTATGCTTACTCCCTGTTAACTCCACGTGGCCTCTCAGTACACACTGTGGAGTAACCTAGTGCATGCAAAGAGTGCTCGTGCAGAGAGGACAACATGGAACAGCTGATGCTCAGTAAATTCACACCTGAGCATAGTGTGTGCTGACTTGCCCATGTGGACAAACCCTGGGAGATGGAGTTGGGAGACTCCAGTTTCATTCCTGACTGTTGCTGACTTGCTAGGACCTTGGGTACATTGTGTAATCCCTCTCGCTGTCGGATCTATTCCTCCTCCTCTTTGCAAACCTGGTTTCTTGTTAGCCCAATTTTCTTAAAGTGTTTTCTGATCCTTTAGACCTTTTTCAACCAGTAAGCAAGAGAGAGTGGTCAGAAAAAAAAATCATGGCAGGCAGGTGGCATTAAAAATATTATAAGCTAGAGCAAAGATGATGTCAGTGTTCTCCGGCATCCTTTCAAACGCATACAAGTACACGATTCTCTCATTCATGGGGTGTTTTTTTACTGTGATAGCAAATGGAAGTTTGTGACTTCCTGAAAAGGTTGAGAAACTTCATGTTAGAGGACCAAGAAAGATGACCTCTTCTGATGTCTTGTTCCAGGTCAAGTCCTCACAACCCTTCTGCAGCTTCTGACCTCTCCACCTACTCCACTGCCTCCCTGATCAGCAATGAGGAACAGTTTGAAGACTATGGGGAGGGAGATGATGTGGACTTTACTCCCAGCAGCCCGTGTCCTGATGATGAGACCAGAACCAATGCCTATTCTGACTTAGGCTCATCTGTGTCTTCCAGGTTGCTGCTTAATTTTTATTTATTTATTATATCTTCATTTTCCTCTGCAGGGGCCCATCTTGGAACTGCTTGGTGTGCCCTACATGATGATTGGTTGTCTTAAAATAAAAATTAATTTCTGCCCCCAAACCTATTGGCAGAGGTTTTCCCAGTGAAGGAAGACTGCATCTGATGAAGTGAACTTGGAACGCAAGCTTTCATGAACCCATAATTATAGAAAATCTCATTTAGTTAGTAAAGTTGCATATCTACCCTGCCTTCTTCCCACCAAAAGCCACAGCAGAGATGTTGCTTCTGGCATCTATGGCATTGGGTTCCACTAAAGCCTTCATAGCTTTATATATTCTAATTTATAGATTTTGCAGCTGGAGTCACTATTGGAAACTGCCTGATTTTTTTTTTTTTTTTTTTTTTTTTTTTTTAAAGCTGGAATCAGATTAGCACCATGCTATCCCTGTAGAGAGCTCAGAGGTGACTGGTCACCTCCTTTTTATAGTGCTCCAATTTTGCATATGCTTAATATTGGCTTATTGAAAGTCATACTCCGTAAAGATGAGTGGGTTTGTCCTGGGAGCTCAGACAAATACAGCTATTGTAGCCCCGGGATGTCTGACCACCTCCTTTTAAGTGTCTTCTGCAACTAGCCCTGATGGATAAAGCTACAATAGAAATGGTGTTGCATTCTCCGCGCATTTGCTATGTATGACTGCGTATGTGGTGTTCTGGTGAGAGGAAAGTGAAACTTGAATCATGTTATCGGCTACCCTGTCTCCTTTTGTATACACAGTGCTGGCCAAACACCAAGGAAAATGAGGCACATTTATAACAGTGAGTTACTGGATGTCTACTGCTCTCAGTGCTGCAAAAAAATAAACCTACTCAATGACTTGGAAGCCCGGCTGAAAAACTTGAAAGCAAACAGGTAAGTAGCTGGCGCACTGTTCTTGAAAGTCCTTTTGAGAAATGGTGCTAACTAAAGAGGAGAAACCAATCTACGTCCAATCGTTTTTCCTGTGGATGTTTACCCAGTATATCTAGTACTAAGTGCCCAGGCTGTTCTTTTAGAACAGCACTGGAAATTTTAAACCTTGCTATCCCATCTGATCTTAACAGGAACTGCTCCCAACCATCTAGAAAATATGTCTCCGGTGTTAGACCACTTCATTTAAAGTATGTGAACAGTGGGGTCTCAAACTGCTGCTTGAGGCTGGTGTTAGAACAGCCTCCCCAGAGAAGTGTGGCGAGCATCCTAACCTTAGTAACAGTGGATTTACTAGTCTAGGTTTGTGTCTGGGGAGCAATCCATCAAACAGGCACACTGACCTAATAGATGTCTGGGGCAGCTCTTTAGAATATGTATTGTCATGGCTCATTGATGTTGTTGATATGAGCACCAACAATGCTAGGACAGCTTGCCCTAGCTGAGGATTTGCCTCGTAATCTCTAGCTTCCGTGGCTTGACCTTGCAGCTGCAGCGTACATGCCTGGCAGGAAAATAGCTGGTGAGATTCTGTGCCCTGAAATCTGAAGCTGGCATTCTAGCAAGGGAAACTGGGTGAAAGAGTGCAACTGCTAAAAACCAGCATGATGGTGACTTTTTTTGGATGCCTCTGCACATTCTAGCTCTGCCCTGAAACTCCCCAGTGCTCCACCCACTTGGAAATCTCGAAACAAAGACTTCCTTGAGCTCCCGGAGTCTCAAAATTCCTCTGCCGATTGCAGCAGCTCATCTATGAACCTGTAGCTCCCCCTAGACACCAAATACAAATGCTGCCTCATTCCATGTTCTTAGGAACAAAAAGACAATGCGCTGCACCTAGTCCCAATAAGAAAACAATAGCATGGGGGGGGGGGGGGGTT